CTCAATCAGTCAAATTTCCACGTTAAACCTTATATTTTCAAAAAACAAACAAAAACCACCTTAGGCTGAAGTCTCTCATTTCCTTTTTACCGAAGATCTCATTTTCGATTTCACAATTTCCAGATTAGGAGGAAATTAAGAAAATACTGATGGTACAGCATCATTTTTCAAGTATTATGAAACTACATCTTGATATATCTATTAAAAGAGGTTTTTGCGATTTAAATGAATAAAAAGATTGAAGCAATGCATCGGTTAATATATTTGTACTGATCTATTATTCTTTTTCTTAAATAGAATTTTTAGTTATTTCTACTAACAAGAGTACTTGATGAGAGTAATTTAATACATGCCTGCATCTTCGCCATTTTACCAACGAAAGTCTCTAAACACCGATATCTAGTTGAAATTTACACATAGGCTGAAAAAATAAATATATATATATATATAGTATGTCAAGTTTATAATAAATTGGATTTAAAAACAAATGCCTGAACTTATTACAAGTTGTGTATCTGAAAACTTCATACAGTGTAATGCTCGTTTCAGATGCATGAATATATCCTTAGAGTCAAATCCTTTCTACGTATAACAGTCATTCACTTCTATAGCAAACGTTTATCATTTGGCGATTGTAAATATGTTGAAGATTGACATGTCAACAGCGCACCTTTTCTTCCCAGTATGAATAATCATGCCATTTCTACACAAGGTAGTTTGACCTACGTGTTCATACATTCATTCGTTAATTTTTACTACTGTAGCAATACTTACACTACTAATTTACTAATGTATACATCGCTTACGATTAATTTTGAAATGCTTCAAGTTCACCACAAAACTATAACGATTTACACATACACACATAAGAAGAAATCGAAGTTTCTTCCTTTTTTAGAAACGTTTGAGCAGCCGACTGCATAACAGTTATGTGGCATTCTCCAACCACTTATAACCTCCGGTAAAATGGCATTCAAATGGCACAGCAGATGAATGATAGCGATCTCTCCAACTTTTGCCGTTTGAAGCCCATTGTTTAGAATACGAGCATACACAAGCTCATTTTCATAAAAATGTAGGCATTTCCAAAATACACAAGTGCGTTTTGTGTGATGTGGGAGTGATAAGCAAAATGTTCCTAGCGCGGGCAAAAGCCTCGTATACTTTAGGCATGGGGTTCTAGCGCTGGAAAAACCTCGCAAGTGCCATTGTATGGACAGTTTGTGTTTTCTTTGTAATTTGGTGATCACAGTTTCCCAAAGTACCTCCGTTTTTGAACTGACGTTAAACAAAACAAAAGCTAGATTACCATACAAATAGACAAAGCCTTGCAGAGGTGGTATGGCTATGAACTAAACTTGTCCAACAGTCATGGAGGGTCTTATCATTAATACAAAAAAACGTAATTAAGACATATCAAAACATAACCCTAATTGGTCAAGTGCCCAAGAAAATAATAAAAATAAATAAATAATGAAGCATGTCTATACATGTTTTATTAGTTACGAGTTGAGACATAAATAGACGTGTTGTAAAGCCAAAGGGGGTAAGAATGAAATATAATTATGGATTATTAATTAACGAGGTCATTAATTGGTTTATTGATCAAGAGTAATCATGAACTTCGAATATGCATTATTAAACATAAATTGTGGAATAATTGGATTCTTAACATAGGGAAATTAATAAAGAATTAACAAATTTCACTGGCATAATCCACTATAACTGTGCTGAAGGAGGCTGCCATCTTTGTGGTATTGGAATCATATTAATGACTGTATCCACCACTCCCCCCCCATCTGTTAATAGTTTTGTTAGGGGGTGGAGGAGGCATGGGGATTTGATTACTTCTGACCATGGCATAGATTTCATGCCGGGTGAACTTAGTTCAAGGTACAATTTTTGTTTACGACATTTATGTAGTCTCAGATGCCCAGATTTTCCCCAAAAGTGATCAGACAGATTCCATTTAAGAACAGGAGGTTCAATAGAAAATGTATGCTGCGGCTTAATAGTTAAAAAATAAGAGACAGTGAATACCCTGTAACCAAATATAGAGCTTTATTCAATTCACAGAACAATTAAAGACAGGATAAGTACGACAACACCATTGATAGAAATCTGCGACTCATAAAAATTACAAGAACCACTATATCTTTATTTCGGACTGAGAAAACAGGGTATTATTGTTTCGAGTATATAATAATATTATCCTCAGGGCATGTGGACTATCCAAGTGACTGTTGAAAATTCCCGTCGTAAAGTAAGGGAGGTTATATTCATAGGACATCACTTAACTTATTTGTGGAAGATAAAAGTAAATACAACTGTCAACTTCAACATAGGAAGTTCAACCTTACAGAAATATTTTCCACAAGAAAGCGCATGCGATATCACAGGAGAAATGATTCAAGATAATTGGTAGCTTAGGCAAAAAGAACTAGGACCTTTACGACCGACATTTGGTATAGTAATCACGTACACCTTGTTACATATTAGAATGTCAAATAGCCTGAAATTGAGTTAACTGATAAATTTAAATTTAGTAGTTAAATTGTACTTTGGATTAAGTAGTTAAGTAAAGGCACATATATAGTCAGTTTATGATATTTGCCAACAATATTGATATACAATATATATATATATATATATATATAATAAACTAATTACGTTTTAATATACGACAACAACAATA